CTCGACACCAAGGGAGGGTGTCGATCGACACCAACTTTCTTTCTCGCGAGGATGGTCGCGAGTGTCGAGCGACACCAGCGGATGGTGTCGATCGACACTGCTCGTCAGAACGGGTCATGTGGTGTTGTTTTGCGTTGCATTGGTGGTTGTTTGAGTTATACTTGAATGTGTTCATTTCTGCTTGTGTGTATAGCCAGTGGTGGGATGATTGTCTCACTAAGTATTTATGAAATACTTATGCATCTCTTTCTTTGATGCAGGTAATAGCAAAGTGTGATCCGTGGAATCATGGCGAGGAGAGGAGGATGATCTAGGGTCTCGGTTGTTATGTTTATGAATATGTTAATTGTTGTTGGAACCTGGTTTAGAGGCATGCTAGGTTGCTGGTGTAAATTGTGGTTATTGAATGATTGATTAATTAATAATATGATTAATTGATGATGGTTTAATATGTTTCCGCTGTGCATGATGATTTATTGTTGGGTTAATTCGGTTAGGTTAATTAGTAGGTATGAGACTATTAATTAATGAATTAAAAAAAAAAAAAAAACGGGTCGGGTCTTTTCAATTTAGATCAGTTGGTGACAACTTCCACGGTGGGAAGGTTGTTAAAGGGTGAGGACCTGGGTTCGAGGAACGCCAGGCGCACCAATAACCTACCTAGTGGGCCAGGGGGCTGCGAGCAAGTGGGCTGCGCAGTTTGGGGGCCCACAGGAGAGAGGTTAGGGTCGATGCGCTGCAGCGCTGTAAGGATGCCATGTGGCGGGGTGTGCCACATGGCGGAGTGTTCCCACGGGGCAAGGTGTTACACTATGAATTCGATAACACTGTTCATCAGTAATTATAAGCATTCGATAACTTTTTTAAAAACATGTTAAATAATATGTTGTCGCGGTAAATTACATATTATCCGTTAAATTGAGTATTTATATAAATTGGTAATATAAATATTTTATACAAGTACGTAAATATAGTTTCCCTTAGATACCATAGACCTAGACCTAAGGACAGACCCCTGCATTATAGTTTCTCTTAGATACCATAGACTTAGGGACAGAAACATAGGCAAAAAGGAAAGCTAAATAACAAATTAATTAGGATGGATATTGAATTTTCCCTTCAGGAAAAGATGACGAAAATATATGTTGAATGCTATTACTAAAAAATGCTTTTATTGATAGCATTTATTGATTAAAAAAGATGACGAAAATATATGTTGAATGCTATTACTAAAAAATGCTTTTATTGATAGCATTTATTGATGAAAAAAGAGACAGAAAGATGACGGAAACAATATTAAATAACGTTCTTTAGAGCTTTATATCCGCATGTCTGCTTTGTTTATAAATCTTCAGCCCATTATAACGGTGTAACGTCAACAATTTCCAGCCCAACCAACAATGAGATAGATGATCCGAATATGTCTTGGATCGGGTAAAAAGGAGACATGCGGATCTTTGTTTAATTTTGTTTAGTCAATTTATTTTTCCAAAATTATCCCCATCTGATTTTGAAATTATGTCTTTTTAAAACAAAATTAGAAATCAATTTCATTATTTGAAGGTTAATTTTGTACAATTTTTAACAATGTCCAATTTGTATCTCTCATTTAATATTTTTGTTTTGGTAAGAGACAGGAGACAAATGTTTCCATACTTTATTAAATTAAAATTTTAAAACTACAAACGAACACGACTTGGGAACTCTATCCCATTAGCATCCTCCAACAACAACGAAACAACGTCACTCGGACAAGTATCAAATAAATGAAGACCTAAAGGTAAAGAAAAACGCATAGCTAGCTAACCCATCCGCTAGACACTTAGATAACTTCAAGTAGGATGGCGTGATATGCAAGATATTCCAAATTTTATTCAATATACTTATAATTTTCCGAACCTTGTATTTTGTAACTGATTTGTTTTATAGAAGTCTTAGTAAACATTTAATAATTGAATAATCATTTTTCAGTTATGATTTGAATAAATTGTTCATGCGAACAGTTTCTTTTCAAAATGTTTAATCCAGATTTTGTTCTTTATGTTTTGACACAAAGAATATAAACATGTCATCTAATAAATAATTTTTTGACTGAATTAAAGTATTCTCAAGTGTTGTTTGCAAACATGTAAGCCATCAGCCACCAAATAACCTATATATGATTTGTTGGAATTGGTTCCTTGATTGAACCTGCAACAAGCCAACAACAAGAAGAAATCAGTGAAGAAGAAATCAAAGAAGAGCTTTAAAGCGTCCAAGAAGAAGAAGTTGGGTTTATGTTTTGTTATAATGGGCTGCAGAGATGAGATAAGGCCGATATGAATAAGTGTTTTGTGTTTATCAAACCTCAATCTTGACCACAGTTGACTTTAAAGATTGGATTTGCCAAATTTACTAACTGTAAAAAAAACCTCCTCAAATGGAACTACAATGATGAGAACATAACCAAAGTAAACCGGTGTCGATAAAAATAAAGTTAAAAAGGATGAGAATATAATATGTAATCTTTTTTTGTGGGAATATGTAATTTTAATATTGTTAGCGGTTTAGAGTTATTATGTTAAATCTTTGTTTCATGTATATCTTCTATATTCTAGGATCTAGATAGCTGACTCTGAACTACTCATGACATCTTAATTATAGTGAAAAATATGGAAAAAATGTTGAAAGAGTGTTTTTATAAGCTTTTGAATGGGACCTATCATACAATGTCAAAGAAGTCTTCGAAATTTCTTCATTCGTTAAGCGTTTTTATCGGAGCCCATTTGTATCCAAAATCACTTTATTTGGTAAACTTGAAAACACACTTGGAACACGAGAACTTGAGCTCTTACAAAACTGAATCACATGGTCGCATGCACCGAGCCAAGACTAGGAATACATTCACCAATATATATATAGCTTCCAAACATGTTAATAATCTTTCTAACATACTTAAAAGAAAGCTTTCGGAAGAAAACAAAAACATTTTCAAACCATTTCAGAAGTTAGCGGTTGACAGTTTCTTCTCTTATTTACATTTTCAAACCTCTTTTGAAATTTCGTCTACTTTGCAAAGAAACAACCAATGTCTCTCTCTCACGCACATCTGGCCAAGACTGGAGACTATTAACAACTTGCTATAGTAAGTTTCTTTACGCGTTTTTCTTTTTTTCATTATTTGTTTCGAAAAATACAATTGACTTTATTTTTTCTTCTGTTATTAGTTTTGAAGTTTCTTTAACTTTGCAAAGAAACTTCCCATTTCTCTCTATAAAGTGAACAGAGCTTTGCCATATTCACACTTTCTTAACCACTCAAGATCATCTCTCATGGCTTATTCCTCTTCTTCACCTGTCATGGCTTCTTCTTCTTCTTCTTCTTCTTCTTCTTCCCCACCTCGCAACTGGAGATACAATGTCTTCACTAGCTACCATGGACCAGACGTCCGTCAGACACTTCTCGCCCATTTACGCAAACAGTTCACCTACAATGGGATTACGATGTTCGGTGATCAAGGGATGGAGAGAGGCCACACCATCGCATCATCTCTCAAAGAAGCAATTCGAGAATCGAGGATCGCGATCGTATTGCTCACAAAGAACTATGCATCTTCTAGTTGGTGTTTGGATGAGCTCTTGGAAATTTTGGATTGCCAAAAGACAATTGGGCAAATAGTGATGACTGTCTTCTACGGAGTGGATCCTTCTGATGTCCGCAAACAAACCGGAGAATTTGGGAGAGTTTTCGATGAAACTTGTGCTCGTAAATCAGAGGAGCAAAGAAAAAAATGGAGGGAAGCTTTGAACTATGTGGGAAACATTTCGGGAGAACACTTCCAAAACGGGTATGTAATCCCTTTAATTAATCACAGTTTATCTTTCTTATGAGTTTGATTATTGTCACTAATTTTATAGTTTAATTCCTGGTATATATGTTTAGTCAAAATTTTGTTATTGCTTCTTAAAATATGTTTAGTTGTTGATTTTGGTCAAAAATGTTTTGAGCTGTGCAGCTAAGAAACAGAGGAATGTTCTCTTTATGACTTTTTCCTCATGAATTTTCTATTTCTTTTTGTTAGGGAAAATGAAGCAGAAAAGATAGAGAAGATTGCAAGAGATGTTTCACATAAACTGGATTTCATGGTTGAAAGATCGTGTAAGGATTTTGATGGCAAGATTGGATTAGACAATCATGTGAGGGAAATGGAGTCTTTGCTTGATTTAGATAACCTTGGAGTTAAGATTGTTGGAATCTCTGGTCCTGTAGGCATTGGTAAGAGTACCATTTCCAGAGCTTTACATAGTCGACTCTCTAATAGGTTCCAACGTACTTGTTTTATGGAAAACGTTAGGGGAAGCTATAAGAGTGGAACTGACAAGCATGGTTTGCAGCTGTCTTTGCAAGAAAAACTTCTTTCTAAGATTTTGAACCTAAAGGGCATTAGGATAGACCATTTAGGTGTGATAAAAGAAAGGCTTCAATATCAAAAGGTTCTTATCATTCTTGATGATGTGGAGAGTTTAGCTCAACTAGAGGCTTTGGTTGATATTACGTGGTTTGGTCCTGGAAGTAGGATCATTATAGCCACTGAAACAAGAGATTTTGCAGCAACATGGTAT